GCCAGGCTCAAAGCTATCCCTTGGCCCAGAGAGGGAGCTGGGGCTTCGGATGGGGCTGGGAGGGCCGGGCAGGCTGTCCCAGCTGTCCTCTGTGGTACACGGGGAGCATGTCCTTCACTGAGCCTTGCAGCGGATTGAAGATAGCGGTGCTGGTTGGATAAAGGACTAAGATTTCTCTTTTCATCTCTGGGTGAGGAGCTAACAGCTTCGGGAGTGGCAGCGGCAAAATACTGCTGGCCTCACGCCTTTCTGAGGGCACCCCCCACAAACGACCCAAGACTGGCCCATGGGTGAAGTGTGTTTTTGATGCCACCGAGGAGACACTGTCTCTGGCCCTGAGCCACGTGAGCCCAATGTCAGCGTGTCGGTGCCCTGCACCAGCCTGCCCCCACCCCGGGCGGGAGGCGGCTGGCAGAGGCCCCTCTGCAGGGGTGACGCCGAGGCTGCTCCGTCGTCTCATCCCACCCCCCTGGGACTGAACCCCAGTTCCCTCAGGATAACTTCCTTGATAACAGCCCATACTGCTGCCTGCCCCTCCCTGCCCTCACTCCACTCCCTCACTGCTTCTCCTGGGACCACCTCCCAAATAAGTTTTTGGTCCCGGAAGGCCGTGACCTTGGGCTGGGTGCATCTCTGCAGGTTGAGGCAAACCCTGAAGGGGCTGACGGTCAAGGGCTGTGGGCTGGATGGAGCTCTGTTGGTGGGGGTGGGGGTGCCTTGGGGGTCTCTCCCTAAGCCTGCCCCGAGGGTCCTGGGACACTTGACCTCCCATGACTGCCAACCACCTTCCTGGATCCTCCCGCCTCTGCTTTCCTCTGGGTGATGCTCCCACAGTGCCAGCCCAGGCCTCATCCTCATCCTCCACGCCCTTCTCCCCACCCCCACCTGGTGGTCCCACTATAGCTCTTTTAAACACCCCCCCACCCCACCCCACACACACACAGGACCTCAGCAGCCTCCTCCCAGACCTTCTTGCCACCGTGGTTGCTCCCAGCCAGAATCCCTCCCGTTTGTCCCTCCGCGCCACCCACGCCCCTTCTCCAGCAGCCCTTCACCAGACATTTCTCCCACCTCCACCTCTGCCACCTAAAGCCCTTCCCGCCCTCCCCCAAGTCACCCCTTGGATCTCAGCTAAGGCCTCCAGAGCCTTCCCTGCCTTGGCCCCAACTCAGGGTTCAACAGCTGTCTGAACCAGCTCCCTAACTGCAGGGTGATCTGCAGGTGTCTGTCATGTTCACTGTGGCCCTGCCGGCTCCCAATGGACAAGTGCTGGATGAATGAGGGCATGAATGAGTGAATGAGTGAGTGAGTGAATGGCATCAGGGTGACTGGTAACGAGCCGCATTGCTTTGGAGATGGTGAAGGGTTTCCCTCCCTGTCGAGGCAGCCTGGCCCTTCTAGAAACAGTCCTCTCATACCCCACCGGGCGAATCCGGAGCTCAGAGGACATGTCTTTGAACTCTGAGAGGAGGGAAAGAGCCGCCTTCAACCAAGACTAAGGACCAAGGACCATTCTGGAATGTTCCCAGGAAAAGGCACCTGTGCAGGCTGAGCGGCTTTGTGTTGCTGGTGGACACTGGAGGGTCCTTCATCTTCGACCTGCAGAGTCCCACCTGGGCCCCCGGCCTGGGTCAGGGCAGATTAACCGTGAGCACAGTACCGGCGGGCCCTGGGCAAGGTACACACGGGCTCAATTGGATTCACTTGCTAATCTGTGGTGAACAACTTCACGTGGGTTTCACCACGGCGTTGATGTGCTGGGGACAGGTGAGATTGTGCATGGCACACTGGGGGCAGGGCACAATGGGTCCATGCGGACCTTGCTTAGTGGGTAATCCTGCCCTGCTGCGGCTCCCTGGTCTGAGCCCAAGGTCCTCTCGCCGGCTGAGGCCTGCAGCCTTGGCCACCCAGCAACCTCACAGCTACTCGGCACAGCTTGGTGTGTTGGGGCTTGTCAGTCTCCGTCACTCAGACTTCCTTCTAGCAGTTTCCCAGGGCGCTGCCCAGCCCAGTGATCATCATGCAGATAAGTTCTGCTCCTGGGCCGTGAGGAAACCCCAGTGGGGAGTGAGTGGATGAGTCTGCCGGAAGCGAGTCGCTGCCTCTCCACCCACTTGTCGGTGGTATCCATGCCTTCTTCCACCAAACGTGGCTTGGCATCCGTGTCCATACCCTGACCTGCTTGTCGGGGCCCGCCCATCCCCTCGCCTTCTTGGGAACTCCTTCTGTCTCTGGGCGTCTTCCCTACGCTTCCATCCAGTGTCAGCTCACTCAGGCTCCTTCTCAGAGAAATGTCGGGTGTCACCCTCCCCCAGATGTAGCCACCCCTCCCTCCCCACAGGGTCTGTACTGGCCAGTCCCCAGCAGACTTCTCAACCCATGAGGCCTGGTTCCCTCCGCACCTTAATGGAACGGCTCTCATGGAGGTCAACAAGGACTTCCACATGACCAAAGCCAAGGGTGGCTGCTGGCGCTGGCTCACAGAGCTTCTTGGAGCCCTGGCATGTGGCCGGCACACCCTCTTCTGGACACACCCTGTCCTCGGGACTCCATACTCCTCAGCCGTGGCTGGCTACCTCCTCGCCCCACCCTGCCTCACACAGGCAGCCACGTTGGTGTCCAGGGCACTGTCCTGGCCTATTTCCCTTCCCGAGGAAGGATGTCTCCTAGGTGGCCCTAACCACTCCCAGCTGCAGTCCTGAACCCCAAGGCCAACTGCCGAGAGAAGGGAGGGTCGGGGTTTACAGAGAGCAGAGAGGAAGGCCTGCAGGGAGGGGCTTGACCTGGAGACCCCTGAGAACCAGCCCATTGCCATTCCTGGGGACCGGCTCTGGATTACTGACAGGTCATTTATAGGTTATCAACAGGTCATTGACAGGTTATCGACAGGTCATTGACCAATAATAGACAGATCATTTATAGGTTATTAAGGAGCCCTGGTGACACAGTGGTTAAGCACTCGCCTGCTAACCGAAAGGTTAGTGGTTTGAACCTACCAGACACTCAGTGGGAGAAAGATGTGGTGGTCTGCTTCCATAAAGATTTATAGCCTTGGAAACACTATGGGGCAGTTCTACTCTGTCCTACAGCTATGTGTTGAACTCAACTCCACAGCAATGAGATTTTTCGGTCAGCGTTGCTGTGGTGATGCAGTGTGGTGCAGTGGTTATGAATGGGGGCTCTGGAGCCAGGCTGCCCGGGTTCAAGTCCCAGCTCCACCATGCTCAGCTCCCCTCCGGCACAAATAAAAATGAATCCAGGACAAAGGGAGACCACGAGGGCACCCAGGAGCCAAAGCCCAGGACATCTTAGGTGGACTCAGGAAGCAGATGCTGTCCAGTTAAGGCTGTAAGGGGATAGTCCGTAAGGAACCCACGTTTGAGGGGCCAGTGGGGGCCGAGGGAAGCAGAGGCATGCTGAAGCCACTGCTCTCTCTGGGGAAAGATATAGATTAACTCCAGAAGTTCCTAGAAAAATATTCCTGTAAAATATTTTAGGATAACCACTAGGAGCAAAGAGAAAGAACAGATAATTCCAAACAGAGTGAAAAAAAAGAATGGAACAAAGAAAATATAATAAATCCATTATAGGGCAGGAAAAGTGGAAAGCAGACTGCCACGTCTTTCTCCCTCGGAGGGCTGGTGGGTTCAAACCACGCTGACCTTTCTGGTAGTAGCTGAGCACTTAACCACTGTGCCACCAGGGATCCTTAAGGAAGCTAGGTAAAAAGAATAAACAAAGTAAGATGTCAGGAATGCACTCAAACATATCAGTAAGTGCAATAAATCACAACTGATCAACTGGTACTGATGTTGAAATGGCACACACCCTGGTGGATACCCTGGAAAGAAGCTTGAATCTGGGCCCCTGGGGGGCTATTACCAGGGTGATCATTTTGGAAATAACAGCTGCCAGGCACCAAAATCTAATATATGCATGTTGTCGTTGTTGTATGCTGTCAGAATTGATTCCAACTCATGGTGACCCCATGTGTTATGCATAAACATCTTTAATCCTCATACCACAACCCAGCATGAGATGTACTATCATTATCCCCATTTTACAGATGAAGAAACTGAGGCCAACAGAGGTTGAGTGACTTACTCAGGTAAGAAGTGAGTGTGCAGTGGCCAGTGAGGAACAGCCAGGAAAGCCAGACACAGCTAGGAAGAGCTTTCCACACTCAAAGTTATTTTCAGGCAGAACTTCTAAGATATTTCTCCTCAGTCTTCTTGCCTCCAGTGTTGCTGATGAGAAGTCTGATGTCAATATTTTTGTCTCCTTGTAAGTAGGTAATATGTTTATTCTTCCTAGAAGCTTTTAGAATTTTCTTCTCATCCTTAGCATGTGTCCTCAGTTCACCAGGATGTGTGGGCTCTTATTTTTAATTTATCCTTCTCAGTATTCAAAACCCATTGCTGATGAGCTGATTCTGACTCATAATGGCCCTATGGGACAGACTAGAACTGCCCCATAGGGTTTCCAAAGAGTGACTGGTGGATTCGAACTGCTGACTTTTTGGTTAATAGCCAAGCTCCCTCAATATTCAACGGTTCCTTTTATTCCAAAGTCCCTGAGTGGCACAAACGATTAAGTGTTCCACTACTAACCAAAAGGTTGGTGGTTTGAACCCACCCAGAGTTGCCTCAGAATAAAGCAATCTACTTGCAAAAGGTCACAGCCGTTGAAAACCCTATGGAGCAGTTCTACTCGGACACACACAGGGTGGCCGTGAGTTGGAATAGACTCACTGTCAACAGGTTTGGTCTTTTTTTTTTTTTTTTTTCATTCCAAGTACTCATGTCTTTCTTCAGGATGGAGAAGACCCAGAAGGTGGGAATGATAGAATGACATCTCTGATGGCTGCCATTTTGTGGTCTTAACGCCTATTTTCTCTCTTCTGTTTCAACTGTCCTAGTGGCGTAGTGGTTAAGTGTTTGGCTGCTAACCAAAAGGTCGGTGGTTTGAACCTACCAGCCGCTCCACAAGAGAAAGACCCGGCAGTCTGCTCCCGTAAAGGTTACAGCCTAGAAAACCCTATGGATCAGTTCTACCCTGTCCTATAGGGTCACTATGAGTTGGAATTGAATCAACTCGACAGCAACGGGTTATCTCAACTGATAAGAGAAAGGGAGAGTAGGGAAGAGGTTTCAAGAGTGGAAGTTTGAAATAACCACTGGTAGAATGAGAGAGATGGGGACTCTGGGAAGTGACTGCGTGTGGGGGGAGGTTCTTCTCTGTCTGTGAGGTGTGATTTTCTCCAGCAGCTCTCAGCATCCAGAGTGTGGCCTGGAAGGTAGCATCAGATGAATTAGATGGAACCATGTTGAGGGTTTTGCTAACAGACAAGTTATGAGAACAGAACCATGGAAGTGGGGTTATTTCCTAGATAGCAACTACTAGGGGCCTTGGCCTCAGCTGGGAAGGGAAGGAAGGGCATTCACCAGGGGACTAGAGTGGTTAGTGGAGTGGGCAAATGGGAGAGTGGGGAGCTTGAATTTAAGCTTTCAAGGGTGGAGAAACTTCTAGAACCACCAAGGTCCAGGTAGGCCTCAGGAGTCACTTTCTGAGGTGAAGGGAGGAGAAGGCCCCAGGAGGCGAGAGGCCAGGGGTCAGGCAGTGTTGTCCATATGGGCACTGGGCCAGTATGATGGCAACAGTGTCAGGGTGGGAGGGATTTGTGTGCCGCATGTCAGTATCCCCAGTGATCCAGGTTCAGGACAGAGTGAGGGCTGACTGGAGTGGAGGAAATGGGGTACAGTGGAGTGACATCCGAGCAGGAAGGAGATACAGCATCTGGAAAGGGAGCCCCTGCAGCCTTGTGCATGCCTTTAAACCTCTGTGGGCCTCAGTTCCCTCCTCTGTAAAATGAGCAGGCTGGACTGGACACTTTCTCAGGTCTCTCACTCCAGGTACAGAGCCCATGCACGGACCTCAAGCTAGTTACTAATCCGTCTGTGCCTCGGTGTCCCTATCTGTGAAATGGAGATAATAATGGCACTCACCTCATAGGGTTGTTGTGAGGGATGAATGAGAGGATCCACCTCATAAAGCGCTCAGGACAGTGCCCAGTGCACAAACTGCATTAATAAACATTACCATTAATGAACGTTATTATTTGTGTGTATCTGAAGCTCCCGCTAACTCCAGTTAGTATTTAGCTGGAGGAAGTACTGACCCTGAATGCTGGCAACCCTCCAGGACAAGCTTCCAGGGAGCTGGGTCTGCCGTGACTCCCCTGCTGTTTGCTCCAGCTGGGGAGAAATAGGAATGGGTGGGGAAAGGGAGAGGCAGGTGGGGGCTGGGCTCTGATGGCCCCTCAGGCTGCTGGAGTCTTTTCACATCTGCTGAACCCCACCTGAACACCTGTGAGTCCAAGTACCCACAGGACATTTGCAAACATCCACCACAAAATAATCATACTAAATTCCAATTATTTATAGTACAACTCTATTGTCAGACTAGAATGCAAACAAGCAGAATGACAAAAATTGATAATAAATAACAAAACTGAAAACAAAATCAACCATTTGAAATTTCCAAAATTCTCTCCTAAACCACTCTTAGGTCAAAAAGGAAATCAAACCCACCTGCAATACTGTATTGATTCTCAGCTTGGAGGAAGATCTTGTGGGGTATATTTTCAAGCTTTGCTTGCCTTCCTTCCCCTCTCCCTCCACCCTAGAGATTCAGATGTTGCCCTAGTTGAATAATTGCCTCGTCCATGGATCATTCTCTAATAAAGTGCTGCATCCCTGAGGTGGGCTGGAGTTTGGTGGGGACGGGAACATACTCCAGGAGCACGGACCTAGAAAATAATGAAAACGAGAAATTTTCTATTAAATACCAGTAAATGTCAGGCAAAGCTGCACTCAGAGGAAAATTCATAGGTAAGACATTCGTTTCCAAATAGTGTAAAAAAATTTCATTTCCAAAAAGAAAGAACAAAAATGAATTAATTAAGCATTCAACTCAAGAAATTAGGAAAAAGTAACAAATTAAACCTAGCGAAGTCATTGAAAAGTAAATAAAGATAAAGTTATAATTAGTGAATTAGACAAAAAGAAAAACAGCCTCTGGATTTCTCTCCCTTATTTCTTGATGAGAAGCCAGCTGTTAATTATATCATTGTTCCCCTTCATGGACATGTCTTTTTTTTCCCTGAATCTCTCAAGATTTTACCTTTTTTCTTTGGCTTTCAGCAATTGGACAATGATTTGTCTAGGAGTGGTTTTTCTTATGTTTACCCTGTTCGGGGTTTGTTGAGCTTCTTCAGTCTGTAAGTTAATGTTTTCCTTTGATATCTGGAAGTTTTCAACCATTATTTCCTCAAATTCTCTCTTCCCCTTCTCTCTCTCTCCTCTCCTGCTGGGATTCCAGTTACATATATTTGGACCACTTGATATTATTCCCCAGGTCTCTGAGGTTCTGTTATTCTTTTTTTCCTAGAATTTTCTCTCTTTTCTTTGGGTTGAATAATTTCTATTAATTTATCTTCAAATTTATGGATCCTTTCTTCAGAATTGGTGCTCATCTAGTGGGTTTTTCATTTTATTGTACTTTTCAGCTCTAGAATTTCCATTTTAAGAAATAGTCTTCATTTGTCTATGGAGAATCTCTATCTGTTCCCCCATTGTTACCATATTTTCCTTTAATTCCTTGAACATATTTTCCTTTGAATGTATCTTTCTTTAATTCTTTGAATGTATTTATAATAGGTTCTTTAAATTCTGTGTCTGCTAATTCCAAGGAGCGGCTGGTGGATTCAAACAGTCAACCTTTGGGTTAGCAGCCATAGTTCTTAACAACTGCGCCACCAAAGCTCCATTTTTTCAGAATGGTTGCCAGTTATTCCATCCTTTACAAGAAATATGTACCCAAACAGAGAAACTTATACCCAACACCTTCATCTCTTTCTAGATTTTCTATTCTATTTATTAGTCTACCTTTCCCAATGATAGTCCTACAATTTTTAAAACATATTTGCTTTAAATATATTTAACTAGCTGATATTAAATCCCACTTGATATTACTTAATTTATTTATTCAGCTAATAGTTACTGAGTTCCTATTTTGAACCTGACACTGTTTCAGGGGTTGGAGATACAGCAATGAGCAAGGCAGATGAGAATAATGTTTTCATGGAACTTACATTTGGTTTAGACACTTATTGCTCATTCCTTCAAAGTCCTGTGAGCCCCATCTCTTGTTCAAGCCACTGCTATGGTGACCCATTCCACGCAAGCTTCAGGCAGCTTCACACGGATGCACCTGGACAGCACCTGGCCTCAGGCTGTCTCTTAGTATACTGCTAGGAAGGGCTCCTTGCAGTTTGCCTGCAAAGCTTGCTTGTTGTAAATGAAGTGGATTGCAGAAGGGGTCACAAGGCAGGGAAGTGAGAATGGCTGAGTGGAATGTCTATACAAGACCTGGGAACCCACCCTCTGACTGCGTTTCTTATACATTCCCTTCCCTGAGGCAGTAAAGGATGCATTAACGAGGATGGATGGTTTTGGTTGGGAATCCCAGTGGTGGCTCTCCTCTGTAGGCCAGGTTTGACAGTCAGAGACTGAGCATCAATAAGCTGTAGGGTTTGGGAATGGCAGAGGACAGAAGGCAGACCTTAATCTTCAGAAAAAACACAAGATGAGCATCTTAGTCATCTAGTGCTGCTCAAACAGAAATACCACGGGTGGATGGCTTCAACAAAGAGAAATGTATTCTCTCACAGTCCAGTAGGTTACAAGTCCAAATCAGGGCGTCAGCTCCAGGGGAAGGCTTTCTCTGTTCGCTGTGAGGAAGGTCTTTGTCATCAGTCTTCCCTTGGTCTGGGAGCATCTCAGCGCAGGAACATCAGGTCCAAAGGACGTGCTCTGCTCCTGGCACCGCTTTCTTGGAGGTATGAGGTTCCCCAACTCTCTGCTTGCCTCCCTTTCCTTTTATCTCTTGTAAGATACAAGGTGGTGCAGGCCACACCCCAGGGAAACTCCCTTTACATTGGATCAGGGATGTGACCTTAGTATGGGTGTCGTACAACCCCACCCTAATCCTCTTTAACATAAAATTGCGATCACAAAATGAAGGACAATCACACAATACAGGGAATCATGGCCCAGACAAATTGATACACATATTTTTGGAGGGACATAATTCAATCCATGACAGTGGGTGGTTTAAAGAATGGGAAAGAGTTGTCTCTGGAGGCTAGAAGTCTTATTCAGGGTGCAAACAGAATCATGTTCTCTTTCTCTCTCTCCCAGTCTCTCTGTCTCTGTTGGCTCTAGGGAGAAGATCCTTCCTGGTCTGTTTCACTTTCTGTGTTGTCGTTGTTGGGTGCCATCGAGTCGATTCCGACTCATAGTGACTCCATGTGACACAATAGAACTGTCCCATAGGGTTTCCTAGACTGTAATCTTTAAGGAAACACATTGCCAGGTCTTTCTCCAGCAAAGCTGCTGGTAGGTTCTTATTGCTGACTTTTCTGTTAGCAGCCAAGCACTTTAACCATTGTGCGGCCAGGGTGCCTTCACACTCTGTAGTCCCCAGGTATTTTTGGCATTCCTTAGCTTGTAGACCTACCCTCATGTCTTAGTTAACCAGTGCTGCTGTAACAGAAACACCACAAGTGGATGGCTTTAACAAAGAGAAATGTATTCTCTCACAGTCTAAGAGGCTGCAAGTCCAAATCCAGGGCGCCAGCTCCAGGGGAAGGCTTTCTGTCTGTCCGCTGTGGAGAAGGTCCTTATTTTCAATCTTCCCCTGGTCTAGGAGCTTCTCAGCACAGAGACCCTGGATCCAAAGGACATGCTATTCTCCTGGCTCTTGTTTCTTGGTGGTATGAGGTCCCCATGTCTCTCTGCTTGCTTTTCTCTTTTATATCTCAGAAGAGATTGGCTTAAAACACAGTCTAATCTTGTAGATTGAGTCCTGCCTCATTAACATAACTGCCTCTAATCCCACCTCATTAACATATTTTCTTCTTCCTTCTTTCCTTTTTTTCTTCCTTCTCTCCCTCTGTCCCTCCCTCCCTCCTTCCCTCCTTCCACCTTTTCTCTTTTCTTCCCTCCCTTCCTCCCTCCCTCCTTTCTTCTATCCTTTCTCCTTCCCTCCCTCACTCCTTTTTTTCTTTCCTTCCTTTCACCCTTTCTCCTTCCCTCCCTCCCTCTGTCCATCCTCACTTCCTTCCCTCTCTCCTCCCTCCCTCCTACCCTTCCTTTCCTTCTTCCTCCCCTCTTTGTTTCCCCCCTCGCTCCCCTCCCCAGACTTTATTAGGGCCTGCTCCTGTGCTGGTCCCTGGGCTACTGCTGGAGACAGAGGGTAGGACTGGATAGATACTGACTCCGTGATCTTGGTACTTACAATCTAGAACAAAACAACAGGCATTAGCCAAATGACCCAATAGAACCTTCTGTTGCCCCATTTCACAGAGGAGGACACTGAGGCCTGTCCAAGGACACACAAGCAGTGAGTAGCGGGGCCAGGTTCAAGTCAGGCTAGATGGTCTTAGCCTCACTTCCCACCAGGGCAGGAGGGGAACCTTGTTGGGGGACAGGAGCTGAGGGTCCACTCTCCCTTCCTCTCCCGGGCCTAATAGATCTGAGACCCTGCTGTCTTGCTAGCCAGCTGCCTACCCTCAAGCCCTCTGCCTGAGACCCCGGCAAGGGGGGGGCAGTCAAGAAGGGGGGCAGCCGCACCGCCACAACCTGGGAGCCAGGAATCCTGGCCCATGAAGTGAGTGCCACCAAGGCGTCCTTGTTAACTGCCCCGCCCCCAGTGACATAAACCAGCCCTCTGAAAGGACTCTGTGGGGTACCCCCGGCACCCTAGGTGCTCGCAGGAGCCAGATGGAAAATGCGGCTCACTGCTTCCCTGGGCTTGGGATGGCTTTTCCATTGCTAACTTCCCAGGCATCCGATGAAGTAGTGGAAAGAGTGGTGGCCGAGAAGGCGGGAACCTGGCCTCACCCTGGCCCGCCCTGGCTTTGGACAACATCCTCCCCTCCCCCGGGAACTCAGTCTCCCCTTCCATCTGCCAAAACCGGGGCCCTGATGCCCAGAGTCCCATCCAGCTTTGGTCTGCCAAACACCCAGTGTCAGTGACCCTAAAGAGGACAAAAGGACAGTGGCCGGCAGACATCTGTGGATTGTGGCTCTGGTCATCTTTATGGGGTTTGCTTGTTTGCAAAACATGCCTTTTTTGGAGCGGAGAACGGTCAGTCGCAACCTACAAGTTTTATTTCAGAAATCATACTCTATTATTCAAGAGTACGAAGGACTTGAGAATTCAGAGCAGGGTCCCCCTTATCTCAGCTGCTCTTTCAATGTCTCAGCTTTGTTACTTGAGCAGCCAGTTTCAGCAAACTGGGGCTTGGAATAAGTGTCCCGGCCCCCAGGACTCACCCTGGCCCACGCGGAGGTCTGCCTAGTGCTGTGTCGGTTTTGGAGCTCGGCCACCTCCCTGCTACAGTCAGCTGCACAAACGAACAAAACACCGCCAGTTCTGTGCCATCACCACGATCGGTTTCGGATCAGACCGTTGTGCTCCATAGGATTTTCACGGGCTGATTTTCAGAAGTAGATCACCAGGCCTTTCTTCCTAGTCTGGAAGCTCAGCTGAAACCTGTTCAGCATCATAGCAACACGCAAGCCTCCACGGACAGACGGGTGGTGGCTGCAGATGAGGTACATGGGCTGAAATCAAAGCCACGTCTCCTACGCGAAAGGCAAGAATTCTACCCCTGAGCCACCACTGCCGGGGCTAGTATTAACCCAAACCCACTGCTATCGAGTCAGATAGAGTAGAACTGCC